ACTTTATTTATTCTTACGGCCTGTGTAACATGCTAGAAACAGCCGAACAAATATTTCTAGCTTCATTTTTACAATTTCAGCCATCAAAAACCTCAAACTGTTTTATCTCTCTATTGTGGCAATTTTTACCCCAATACTGTATAAAAAATCTATAGACTAACACTTAGGGTGTTACACCAGCTCTGACCAGCATGGGGGGTCTGGGGACCTGTATTTTTTTTCAACTATGCCCTAAAGGGTAAGGGAAAAAAAACAGATGCCTCCTGCTGGTCAAAGCTGGTGTAACATTCTAAGTGTTAACCAATATTTTTTTTTCATATGTTACTCGGCATCTCAGTACTGGAAAAGTTGCTGGAGAAATGCAACTTACACTTAAGAACGCATTCACTTTCTTACCATTCAGGGCCTGATAGTGTTTGGCCAAAAGGCCGAAAAATGTTATAATTTGTACATGGTTATTGCACCCAAAGGCCCAAAAATGTAAATTAATATTTCTTAATTCGTTGTATTAAACAAAAAACTAAAATTTCTTTGCATTGTTTCAATCTCTTGCAGGAAGCTTTACATTTATTGTGAATATGGAACAAAAGTTGGCTCTTACTGTAGCCACAGTGCCTCCCACAATCTACCTGATACTGTGCTTCAAACTGAAGTCGGACACACAGATCCAAATAGCAGCAGTCATGAGCATTCTGTATGCATTCCTCATGACTGGAACTATTCTCTCCATCATTGGTACACTTTATTTTATTTTAAGATCCAAATACTTTACTGGCTTCTGTTTGTGTTTAAATCGTTTGTAATATATATATACAGCACTGTGCGAAACTCAGGGACCCTTCAAAACAGTCATTAAGTACAAGGTTTTCATTTTTCAGTGTCAGGAAAGAAAAAGAAAAAAAGAAAAAAAAAACTACAGAGATATTTTCCCACACCTCAAAAGTTCAGTCTTATAAGTTGCATTTTCTGCTTCTCACAGTCCAAGTAATCCAAACACATTCAGTGACGTTGCACTCCACCAATTTTTCAAATTTTTTTTGCATAGTTACATCTTTAAGATGTAAACAAAAGTCATTCTGAGTGGTTTGATGTGAAATGCTCAGTTCTAGAGAAACATACCAAGATTTGTTCAGAGTGGTGGTGATAGGAACCAGACATCTGCAAGGCATTGTAAGACAAAATAGCCCCCAAAGACTTTTTTTTCAGATTTACCAATAGTTGTCCATAGTTTTTATTACATATAATATCTAAGAAGACACACATAGGTTCACTGGTGGTTTTGGATAGTAAATTGTACATTGTGACCTCTGGTTCCTATCACCAACACTGTAAAGAAATCTGAGGTTATAAGTTTCACCATTTTGCACCATTTTTAATAAGACACTCTGAATTATTTTGTTTACATCTTAGTGGCTGAATTATGCTGAACATCTGAAAAATCAGTAGAATTCCTTTTTAAGAACTGTTTATCTCATGGTCACAGGTTTCTTGGACTACAAGATCTTGCAAGGATATAAAAAGTCCCAGTTTCTCTGTATCTTTTTTCTTTTTTTTTTTGCTTAAGTTTTCCTTTGACTTTTTTCTTCTTAACGCAAGTTGATGATCTTATCTCTAATCTCCTTAGAAATATAAGATTAATTTGTACTTATTGGTTATTTTGACTGTAAATTAAATAAATGAAGGGTGATTATATTAAAGATGCTGTTCACAATACCCTTGCTTGAATCAAATGAAAATTACATATAGTATTTTAGATTGCAATATTATCATTTAGATAATATTACAGTCTAAAATACTATATATCATTTTCAGCTTTAAAAAGGGCATTTTTAAACACATTTTCCAGTAATGAACAGATTTCAACTTGTGCAAAGAAAAGAAAGTTTTGGAATTGAGCAGCTGAACTGAAATTGACCCCAACCTTGTTTTTATCATTTCCCTTTTAGGTGACATAGTGAAGCAGCAGACATTCATGACCCCCAGTGGCCTGTTTCTCATTAGCATGACCCTGCTGTACATCATTACAGCAGCTCTTCACCCTCAGGAGTTCTCCTTGGTCATCTATGGGGTCTTGTACTTCCTCTGTATTCCCAGTGGCTATCTCCTGCTGTCCATTTACTCCATTGTTAATATGAACAATGTAACTTGGGGGACCAGAGAGACAGGTGGCAAAGCTAAGACTGCAGCAGTGAACGCCATCAAGAGGCAGGTCATGCAGGCTACATGTTGTAAGTGTATATGCTGGAAAAGCAGTGATAACAATCCTCCTATGAGTGAACAGAAGAACGAGTCACCGCTGGAATCCAGTGTGTCTGAGGAACAAGATCTTAATGTCCACATGGATTCTGAAGAGACTGGAAGGTAAATGTACATAATTTTACAGTAAGACTTATTTTTTGACTCATGCATGTGTCTGTATTAGTGGTAATTGCAGTACTTTGGGTTAAAACATTCAGTTTGGCTTCTACTTACAGTCCTACATATGTTAATCATTTTGTATTTTCATCACATATAGGTGATCTAAGACACAATTTAAAGATGAATGAAAGATTGTACTATTTTATGTTTTTTTTTACCTCACTAGTTCACATGAATGTCTCACCCCACAGAGTCCTAAAAGTGAGTACTGTATATTGCTCTTTCGTTGTTTACATCAATACATGCACTATATTCAGTGTCCCAATGCTAATTTGTTTGCAGTGCTTTATGGCAAATATGTTTCTAATTTTCATATTTATCTAAATAAATCTAAAGGCTGGATTGAAGATCTGCAAATAAAATCTTATGACTTCCCACTACACAGCGCCACACTCTCAGAGGTAGAATTTTTAAAAGGCTTTAAGAAATTTACATCTCTTTTTTTTGCGGTAATTTAACTTTACTTTCATTTTTAGGAAGAAACTGAGTTTTGGAAAGAGCTTCAGAAAAGGTACTTAGAACCTCTTAAAGAAAATAAAGAACAGCAAGAAAAAATCGCAAAGGACCTCAAAGAGCTCAGAAACAAGGTGAGTGTGCTTGGAGTGCACATTCATATATATATATATATATATATATATATATATATATCAGTATACAACCTTTTAAATATTTAATTTTAAGGATGTGCCAATATGGGAACTGTGGGCCGTTGCCAATATCCGACTCTTTTCATTAATGCCAATACCGATACATAAACATTTATAAATTTATTGGCAAACTGTGACCATCTAAGTTTAGGAAATAGGAAAAAAAGTTTCTACTATCACCCCTATGCGATTCTAGTAATACGTTAGCACTAAGCTAATGCCAAATCACTTGAACTTTCTGGGGCTTGTTGCAGTCTTACAGTGACTCTTTTATTAAAGAGCCCTGGCATAGAACTGCCACCACCATCTCTTTTCATCTCTAACAACTGACTGAAACCTGGTTAGACTACAGTTCATATTCACAGTCAGTGACTTATCTAGAACTTCTAGAAGGCCTAGAGCAAATGTTAAGAAGAGTCATTTTATCCTTTCAACAAAAACCAAACCACCTTGGGAGCCACAACATTTTATGTCCATTGTACCATCTTGGCTGTAAATATGTCTCAGTATTGTGCTAATTTTCTAGTATAGGCTAAAACATATAATATAAATGAAAACGCAGACTTACTTTGCTCTGTTTTAAGTTTTAGCTCAGATATAGCCATTTTTCTCGCATCTCTGGCAGGAAACTTTTCCTTGAAAGCAGAGCAGTTTCTTGTAAAATGTCTCTCAACATTCGACTTTTTACGAGGCTGAAGTCAGCTTCTAATTCGAATTTTACCATTAACAGAAAACCAGCTGAGTGCTTATAAATGCAATTAAGTCCATTCGTCTCAAAGTTCTCGATGTATGTCTCAAATCTTTCTCTTTGCCTTTTCGTTATCTACTAGCTAGGCAAGACTGTTGTCGTTACTGTGGTAAACAGCAGTCTGCAGTCTTCAGGGTTAAAGGTTGGTGAATTAGCAGTTATACATTAACTCCAACATTTAAGATAGTTTATTGTTAAAACTGTGAACGATCAGGAGAGCTTAATTTTACGGCAAAGGCCGATTATTTTATTTTTAAAAAAACTAATTCTGCTGTGAAGCCGCAACAGGGCAGTAATAGAGTCGCATGTTGTGACATTTATTCTCATGGTTACACTTAATCAATATGTGACTGATTCATTTCTCTATCACTTCCTAGTAATGTTAATAGTTAATCTAATGTTTAAGGCTTTTGGTTCAACCCCTGATGTCCCAACCAGTTGGAGAGCTCAGTTTGCTGTATCCATCTAAAAAGCATTGAGAAAAAATCCTCATTAGACAATTTTTTCTTGGGTGGTCCAAGAATGAAACTTTTGTTTCCAATCAAAACTTAACAATGTAAGAGAATTAAGAGTGTTACTACAATACGGGATACAATACCGAGTTTAAATACAGCAAGCAATTCTATTAAATTGCTATTAAAAATTCTATTAAAAATTAGAAATTCTATTAGAAATTAAAATCTATTCGAAATTTTTAATTTCACAGCAAGGCCTAGAAGTTCCTAGTTCCCCCCGACAAAATGCAGAAACTGGAACTAAATCCACCTGGATTACCATTCCAGAGAAATATAACACATATTTCTTTAGGGTTAAAAATAAAGTTAATGTAAAGTAAAATTAATGCAATGTAGACATTTTATCATGGCAACCCAGAGTCACCTAAACAGTCTGTTCTTCCAAAGTACAATATATGTGTCATCAAAAATATCAGATCTAAATATCTGTTCGATGCTGGTATTTTTTTAAAGCAAACATTCTAATAAAACAAACATGATTGCAATATCAATATGCATTTCTACTAAATGTGCTGCTTCAATAGACTGATAGAGTTCTGTTCTAACATAGGTGACGTTTGGCTTCTTCATCTGCAATGCTCTTTGGTTGGTGGCCACCCTGTTCCTTCAAACTATTGGCAATGCTGTCAGTCTATCTATTCCAAAAATCTATCCGAATGGGACTTTTGCTGTGGGAGAAACATTTTCCATTGATCCGATATCACTGATGTTTCTCCTGAGCTTTGCTGTACTGCTGTTTATGCAGTTTTTTGCGATGCTTTACCACAGGTAACTTAATATATTGCCTCAGTATAAAACTAAAACTTAAAGACTGACATGTACAGTTCTTGTAATATGTGTGAAATGTACCACCATGCAAAACATATTTTATGAGAGTGTTATGCTGCATTCCATAGAATTAACCTACTGTTGCTCTCTTTATTTCAGAATCTACACATTAATCCATTTTGTGGCCTATGTTGACACAGAAACTAAGGCTATAAGAAAACGGTCATATGAGGAGAGTCATGAATGTGACCAAAACGTATTATTTCAGGTAAATAGTGTTTGAAGTCAGTATATTACAAATATTAGGGTGAAAGTTACAGATTTTTTGGACTGTTTTGTCTCTATAGGCTTCTAAAGGTTTGAAAACGGACCCCCAATATGGGATGAATCTTGACACATCTTTATGCATACAGAACCCATCTGCTGTTGAAGATCCGGCAAGGGTAGTATGAACTGATGCTTACCTCAAATAATGTGTGATAACGGACATTATATTGGACAGTTTTTTCCAAGAAGTCTCTCAAAGGCATAAGAAATTTCCAAGTACTGTTCAAATTTTGAGTGATATATCAATGAAATAAGACATGTTCAAAACTACTGCATTTATTTTTCATTCATGTACATACTGCTTTACTAATTGTACTCAGTATTGTCCTTCCTTTTATCTGTTAAAATGTGCTATTGTTTACATAAAACTACTGAAAGAGACAATTATTTAAAATAAAAGTAACAAGCAAACAAAATGCAACGTCTTTTTACCTCAAACACAAACGGCACATCCTATCTAGTAGACCTACAGAAAAGTAAACATTAAACTTAACAATATTTACACAATACTTTGAATAAGGGTGGTACCCTGGTGAATAAAAATATATTACTAATGATATTCAGTAAATATAAAGATATTTGATGTTAGTCTGTAATATTAAATGGCTATACAGTTGAAGTGTGTTAGTGCTTTAAAGTAGGCCTGTGAGGTTAGGCCTACGAGAAGCCTTAGGCTTCAGTGAAAAGTTCTGTCTGGGGTCATGAAATCGAGCTCAGGGTACACAAGGAATCCGGTGAAGGTTGTGTAGCGTCCCTGGTTGCTGTAGACAGCGTAGCGTTCATCCTGCTGGCTGTACAGCCAGACAACATCTCCTCTCTTCAGAGGCAGCAGCAGACTCTGGCTCTGCATCTCTCTCTTGTGTGACATGTCCTCATCAAACACCATGGCCTGTACCTCGCCCCTGCCCTTCATCAGCTTCACTGACACGGCCCTCCTGGGGTGCTTCCCCACCGTGAAGGCGAAGAAGTACACCCCTGGGATGTAGCATGTGAAGTGGCCTGAAGACTTGTTGAAATGGCCACCGATGTTGACGTACTCCACGTCAAAAGTGAGTGCTTCTCTCTTGTGGTGCCTCCTGCTTTCTCCCAGAATGGAGAATGTCCTGGCTACTGAAAATGCAGACCTAAGTTCCTCAGTGGCTTCTCTTCGTCTCTCGCTGTAGCTGGGGTCCACAGGGGGAGTGCAGTCAGGCTGAATTCCTGGTGGGGTCAAGTGGTTGTTTAGGTAGCCTATAGACGACGTGGATTCTGGGTAAACCAAATAGCCAGTGAAAGTGATATAAGGTCCAGCATTGCTGTAAAGAGCATAATCTGGGCTTTCCTGAACGAGTAGCCACACTGTATCCATGAGTTTTAGGCTAATGATGGCACTCTGGCTCTGCACCTTTCGGCCTTGTTTTCTGAACTCATTGTAAGCCATGGCTTGCACCTCCTGCCCATTCTTCACCAGCATTACCGACAGCAGCTTCTTGGGGTACTTGCCCACCGTGAAAGTGAAATAGTATGCGCCTGGGACCCGGCAGCGGAAGCGGCCAGTGTCTGGATTGAAGTCATTGCCCACATTGACGAGGAGGCGGTCAAAGGTCACGGCTCGCTGAGAGCCACCCAGTACGCTGCTGCTGCGTGTGGCGGAGAAGGCTGAACTCAAGCCTGGCATTACGGGACCAATTTGGAAAGGGGTGATGCTGACCAGGCAGGCAAGCAGAACTGTGAGAAAGAACACACTTCTGGACAAGCTCCAGAAGGCCACACCTAAAGATGGCGATATAATCAGCCTGTAGTGTTATCCAAAGCCTTCTTATAATGACATTTTTATTAAAAAGACAAAGCAAAGAATATTAGCCAATTATATTAAATTGGATAACTAAGCTGAGCAATTCTATCAGAAACGCAGAAAAAACATTTATGGGGTCAAAGTCATTATTTTGGGCTTAAATCTAAAATCTTTTTTACTTCAAATTTCAAAAAGGATTCAATAAAACATAATTTCAAACATAACATTCACATCCCCAGTCCATAGAGTTCATATATGAAAACTAAGCTGCAAAACATGATGCTTTTATGTACAGTATATTGGCCAATTCAACCTACAGCAGTTTAGCCCTTCCCATTCACACTGAAGTTATAAGGAGTGTTTCACCCTGTACTGCTTTTTGAATGTTGCTGTATATATATATATATATATATATATATATACAGCAACAGCACAGCAACAAAAACAGTCATGTTTAATTCTAGAAAATGGTTAATAAAAAAAAGACTGTTTTTGTTAGATAAAACCACACACAAATATCAAGTGAACTTCAGGGAAAAAATACAATAAAAATGTAAGATACAGTATAAAAGTGACTTTCAAATGTACTAAAACTGAAAAACAGGGAGTCGAAGCCCTTAACATCTGTTCTTTGGCAAGGCATTATGAACTTGTTGACATGCCATACGAACGGATTAGGAAGTCTGGTTTAGCCTTGTCAGAATGCATTCTGCCTTTCATATCAAGTGCTCAGTGGAAGCAGTAACCCCTCTAATTCAGCTGGTATTGTCTGTTGACTCTGTGCACTGGGAGAAGGCAATAGATTAGGCCCTGGTTCATCTGCTCCTGTGTCCTGGAACAATGGCATATTTGAGAGCGGATGAGGTGGGGCATGAAAGAAAATGTGGCCAGGGAGTAATTTTTTTTTGGTGTAAAGCAAAGAGCCTTACATGAAGACACAGAGGATCAGTTTAAGAAAAGGTCACTCTGTTCCACTGTATACATGTTGACGAGTCACAGAGAATATGATCAGAGAATGACTGCAACAAATGTTTCCCCATTAATTGATTAATAATTTCAATTTATTACTTAACTAATTAACTGTGAAAATATTGAACTGAGCAGTAATTGATGTTACATGGGAGATTATATTATAATTATATAACTATATAGGTCAGTACTAGTTCTCCTTTCCTTCACTATTAAGTATTTACCAGCACAGCGATGTTTAAATCAGACTAGTTCAGTTAAGATCTACAAGAACATTTTTTCTGCAGCAAACAACATTGTTAGCAATAAATTTAATTTAAATTAACCAAATGAAAACTTCTAGTTCTGCAACTAAAACTATTTATTCATCAACACCTTATGCTGAAATGAAATAAGCATTTACACAATGATTTGAATCAAATATGATAATTTTTTTTGTCATGAGCAGAAAAAGTGTTGATAACTGTTCTACATACCTGCTCTGAGCCATTGCAGAGAGTCCATGTCCCTCATGAGATGTGTTCTTCTCTTCATGCGAGCCTCTCAGACACTCAGCCGCTGGATGAGTGAACAACTATTCAAATACTCCTGTGCAAGATCTTTTCCAACATCCAGTGTCCCCACCCTCCAAACGACCATTCACTCACACACTCTCTCACACATGCCCAAAGAGGAAGTGAAAGACAAATGCAACCCTAGTCTTTCGATTTCAACCAGAATGTAATTTTCTAAAATTAAAAAATGTTTTCCCAGAAGTGCCTGATGTTCAGTGATGTTCAGTGATGCTCCTGTTTTTTTTTTCTTAAATATTAATCAGCGCCAGTGAGTGGCATGCAAGTTCCAGCTGTTCAAAATCACAATAGTGTAGGCCTAAAGTGTCTTTCATGTCACATACAGTGGTCCCAAAAAGTATTTGCACATTGTTTTCATTTTTTTCCTTACTTAAAAACCAAGCAGCATTTATTTTAAACAGGCCATTTCAAGACTTTTGAAACTGCTGCTTGAATACATACCAGTACAGTTTTAATTGTTACTATGTTATCTGTTTACTTTTAAATATTAGATTTTTGTATGTGTCAGGGAACAGTATTTCAATTAATTTCATGTTTTTTTGCTTTTAATGCATAGCTTATATATGCATGTTTAGAGTTAGTTATGTAGCTAGTATATAAATACTCACTTCCTTAGGGTGTATGTGGAAAAAAGACACTTGTATTACACAACATGAAAGCACATATGAGTAAGATATACCTTCCCTATATGAAGTGTTTTCTATCATCTATTGTTCGCTCGTATATGTGTGTACACCACCCTGTTTGCAAAAAAGTTCTGCAAATAAAAAAAAATAAAAACAGAATACAGCGATGTGTGAATGATTTAAACTCTTTATTAAATTGAAAACAGTACAAAGGCAACAAATCAAATGTTAAAACTGAGAAATGTTTTTGTTTTTTGAAAAATATATGCTTAGTTTGAATTTGATGCCAGCAACACATTTCATAAAAGTTGGGACAGGGGCATGTTTACCACTGTGTTGCATCACCTCTTCTTTTGACAACACTCTGTCAGTGTTTGGAACTGAGGAGACCAACTGCTGTAGTTTTGAAAGCAAAATGTTTTCCATTCTTGCTTGATACAGGATTTCAGCTGCACCACAGTTTGCAGTCTATTTTGTCATTTTTCATTTCATGATACTCACAATGGGTGAAAGGTCTGGACTGCAGGCAGGTCAGTTTAGCATCTGGACTCTTTTACTACAGAGCCCTGCTGTTGTAGTACATCCAGAATGTGGTTTGGCATTGTCTTGCTGAAATAAGCAAGGCCTTCCCTGGATGCCACTGTATGTTGCTTTCAAAACCTGTATATATCATTCAGCGTTAATGGTGCCTTCACAGATGTGCATGTTACCTGTGCCATGTGCACTAATGCCATACCATCACAGATGCTGGATTTTGAACTAAGCCAGATGGTCCCTCTCCTCTTTAGCCTGGAGGATGCAGGGTCTGTGATTTCCAAAAAGAATTTCAAATGTTGATTTGTTGGAACACAGAACACTTTTCCACTTCGCCTCAGTCCATTTTAAATGAGCTTGGGTCCAGAGAAGACAGCAGCGTTTCTGGGTCCTCTTTATATAAGGTTTCTTTTTTGCATTGTAGAGTTTAACTTGCATTTGTGGATGCAATGATGAACTGTGTTCACAGACAATGATTTTCGGAAGTGTTTCTGAGCCCATGCAGTGATTTCCACTACAGACTCATGTCTATTTTTTTATTGCAGTGCTGCCTGAGAGCCCGAAGATCACGGCCAGCTAGTATAGGTTTTCGGCCTTGTCCCTTGCATACAGAGATTTCTCTGGATTCTCTAAATCTTTCAATGATATTATGTACCGTGAATGATGAAATCCCAAAGTTCTTTACTATTTTACATTGTGAAATGTTATTCCTAAATCTCTGCACTATTTGCCTGTACAGCCTTTCCGAGTGGTGAACCCCTCCCCATCTCTCTGGGTTGCTCTTTTTATATCAAATCGTTACTGACCTGTTGCCAATTAACCTAATTAGTCATGAAATGTTCCACTTGGTGTTTTTTTTTAGGATTACAAAGCTTTACCAGACTTTTGTTGCCCCATCCCAACTTTTTTAAAATGTGTTGCTGGCATGGAATTCAAATTCCATTTCTGTATAGGCTGGATATTTTATGATATTATGAAGAAACCTAAAGAACTTCACTAAAGTTTACTTTTTTAAATGGGTACAAATGTCCAAATACGTTTTTGGGGCCACTGTACATGCCATACATTTTAGACCACATGCACTATTGACTGCCTATTCAGCATAATTAATAACGCAAATAATGACGTATATGCTACAGCAATTGTTTTAAATAGGATCACACATGACCAACCCCGTTTTGTTAATATACGACTTAAACGTGTGTGTTTCAGGGAAAAGCCAGATGTCGTGTGAAGGTGTTTAAGACTACATGTTCCAGAGTGAGCCCCGCTCTGCGCGGCAGTGGAGTGGCGGAGAGTGACGCAGCGCCGGGGGGCGTGTTCACTGCGTCTCTGAGAGGAAGAGGCACCGAGAGACGAAGCTAAAAAACCCGCATTCGAGACAAGATGGCAGGATTGCCCCGCAGGATCATCAAGGTAACTGTGAAGCGAATTTCCTTCGCATTACGCGCTCCTACGCCCTGAATTAGCGAGCCGAGCGAGCCTGAAACGTCGCCTTAGCGCTACGCGGGCAGACAGAAAGTGGCTGGCGTTTTTTGCGCCTGCTAGTGTTTGTTAGCCAGCCACTTCCGTTCAGGTCTTCGGTTCTTAACCCGAATATGGGTGGGTTAAAAATACATGCACGTTGGGCTAGGAGCAGCAAAAATGGCGGAAGGCCCCTCTCTTGTGCATAAATGTTTTAAAATGTCAAAGAAAGTCGACAATAAACGACAAACGTCCCGCGTTAGGAACACAAGTAATTGCTGACGGGCAGGCTAACTGGCGCAGCTAGCTAATCACAGACAGGCTGCTGCTGCTGCCATTCATCGACTGAAGGCTAGCCGCAGCTAACATAACAGAGATACTGAATTTATTACAGTCCTAGTTTGGCAGATTAGTTTCTTTTAACGCATGTGTAGTAAATGGTCATAACGTGCGTTATCCCCAGCCTCGCAGTTAAAAGCAACAGCGCTGATAACTGATTTACAAAGCCCCGCATCGTGTGCCGCCCGCTCGGCTGGAGTTAGCTTAGCCAGTTTCGGCAGCTCGTCTGCTTGTGCTGCAGGTATTTTCCGTGCTAGGCCTGACTAGCAGCTAAAACTGTCCATATGTCATTCACGGGCACGGAGTAATGCACACAAACAGAACAAATGACAAAATAACAGTGTATTATTTCTGTTAATGCAGGCTAAAGAAACAACACCCACCCATTTAAGTGTAAATAAGTTACTAGCCAGATAGGTTAGCTAGCTAGCCGCTAGTTACCGCACAGACTCGCTGTCTAATGGCCGGTTAAAAACCGTCAGATGTGCCTCAGATTTCTAGCCTGCTGACCTCTTAGCTCCTAGTCCTGCTTCATACTCCGAGGAAAGGTGTCATGGCACCATAACATCTGGTTGAATAGTGTAGATTTCTCTATGTTGGGGATATTTTTTTGAAGGTTGCAAGAAAAGGCGTAGCCTGAAGCTGGTGTCGGCTGGGTCCTCACACCCATGAGCTCAGTATCGGTAGGCCTGATGTTTCTGTCTGCCGCACCTTCATTTCTGCAGCCCCTCAAAACAGACTTGCTCATTGAAACTGATTTCTTAAACTCATTTGAAAATACACATTGTGTAACAACAAGAACAATTAATTTTGAGCTTTTTAATTGTTTCAAATCACAACAGAACAGGAATATAGATGAATAAATTCATTAAACACTTGTTAAGGGTATCTACATTAGTCACCATCCCATGGTTCATGATGAAGCGTATGTATGTAACAGCAGTGAAATTCATCCCCCAAACCCAGACTCTTGCAGTCTGAAGTAATTGGATATTGTGCATGCACTGAGCATCAGTGTGGTGTGTCGGGGTGTGGGAGGGCTGGGAACACATGCCTGAGAGCGGCCCTTAAGCGTGAGACTGGGATTGAGAGCCCCTCTCTTGTCTGTGTTTTCTCTGCATGGTTTTGTCCATGGACTATCTGAAATATTTCAGGAATCTTGCTCTCTGAATGATATTTTGAATAAGGGGCGAGAGCTCTCCTCCCACCACATGCTTTTATCTGTTGGTGCTGTGGTGGAAATTGGGCTTAGTGGCTGTATGATAAAGTTAAGTTTTTTATAATTTTAAAAACAGAACAAAACAAAAAACTGGCATTGACTCGGTGAATTTAAGCAAGAGATCTCTAGAATTGGATAATTTTGATGGGTGATCTTCCATCCTAGGCTTACTTCTAGCTGATTGAAATGCATATCACTCATAGCTCTAACACTCAATGCGTTTACATGTGCACTAATAATTTGATCATTATCTGATTTCAGCTGTTACTTGTTTATTCAGCTGGTCATGTAAAAGGCATACTGCAATTTCTTATCAGATTAAAGCCATTATCAGATTTTAAGAAATATGACGACATTTGAATTTAAGCTCAATTATCAGGTTATTCAGTGCTTATATACTGTTAAACTGATTTTTCTTTTTTGTGCATCTGTGCATTGGCAGTTATAAGATTATTTTGTACGTATAAATGTACTCATTGCCATTAGCTGAGCTGTTCTTCATTTTCTGAGAATTTCATGGCAAAGAGCTTTTGCACATGGAGTCATCAATGTCTTTAAAATAACTCCAGCATTATATAAATGAATTAATTTGGCTGAGGGTCACTTTAGCGGTTGATCTAGAGGAATGCAGAGGTGCTCAGCCTGTTGTGGGCCGGTTACACAATAGAACATCGGAGAGCGGTTAATCAAGCTGCGCACCTCTCGGATGTGTCACGTCTCCAGACTTGTGCATTCCACAGGTGATATCAGATACGCACTCTCATTACTCATGTGGGTGTGTGGTTCCAAAGGCCCTGAAGGTTACGCTGTCTCACTCTCCTAATAATGGCTACTGTCTCCCTCACTATAGTGGTACTCAGGATCACAACAATTGCAGGTAGTGATATGTGCACTGACTTTGCACCTGTGGACTGTTGAAAGCTAAATCAAGCCTTATTTTTTAGCTGCAAAATAGCCTATGTAGGAACTGGTCTTAATGAAACATAACTGAAACATTTTTTCTCTACTTCCCTTTCCACTTAAAGAAGTAAATATGAATGACGTATTTGTCCACATCATGGGTTTAACACTAGTACTTTGAGGAGAACCATTACATATGATATTGTTTGATTAGAACCAGGAAAAACTGTGATGACCTGGCATTAAAGACCTGCACTCCCGCGGAATACCGCTGGACCAGCGGGACCCGCCACACTATCTTGTGGCGCGGGACTAGTTCTCAGTGTTGTGCACGAGAGTGGGTGGGGAAGCAGACCGAAGCATGCATTAAGAGAAATCCCACAAATAAGTGAATAGTCTAAATAAAGTAGAACAACCAGTAAATCATATATGTATATAGAAGCAATATAAAATGATAATACAAAGACAGTTAAAATGAATGAAGTCATTCTAAAGAGCTGCGAAGCAACTGGTCATGTAAACAACTTGCACATCCTTGCAGCTTACAGAGATTGTGGAGCCTTCAGTCTGATGGCCACAGCGGCCGAGCCCAGCAAATTACAAACCGTAACCATTCTGTGGTTCAATTCCTGCTTGTGTTTATTGGGAATAAATGGTAAATGGTAAAGTTACTTCACAGTGAGCCAAAGGATAATGTATTTGTGGATAGACTATGTCAGATATTGGACGTCAGTTCCCCTTGACGGGACTTTGTGGGCAGAAGCGGGGCAAATGATTCAGATTTTCTGCGGGAGCGGGCAGGAGCTGGATGAGATCTTGCCGGAGTGGGACTGAAAAAAACAGTCCCGCGCAGAGTTCTACCTGATATCACCTTGTTGTTCTACTAGTTAGGCGATGGAATTAGAACTATTGTTCATGCAAACAGATATGTCAGAAATGGATGATTGATCATGCCCATCTCTGTAATCATAGGCCAGTAAAGCGTAGATCCCAAAGCATTGGTGAACTGTAACTTTTCGAGGTTTGATTTAGGCCATCGATTTCAAAACACTGCTACAGCTCTGCTTATTTTTGCTTCTGCTTGTATGCTTCTTATATATTTGTAGCCCTAAGCTGACAGTGGTGAACATTAACGTGTTCTTTTTTTGATCTAGTAACAGACATTAATTATTTTACCATGTATTTTGGCATTCACAGTGAAGACATCTGGCATAAAATGACTCACTGTTTTTGAGTCCCATGCCTGATTTAAACCTAATGGTTTTTCCTACTGCTGGGGTTCTATCAGTGACATTTCTAGGACTTCCAGAGGGCACACCGTGATGTTTTTACTCCTAAAAGTGGTCCCAACCATTAGAATTTGAAAACTGATTGATTGTTTCTGCTGTCATTTTGTAATTGTTACTGGTTTATCTGATGCATCAGGCCTTCTGTCCAGCTCCTGAGCTCCTAAAAATCCTTACTGGACAATATTTCACTGGGCAGTTCAACATGTTGATCCTTGTTTCCAATAGAACTAAACAATGAAATAAGAACAGTACTACAATACTTGTCAAGAATCAATACAAACGAGATGATTAATCTATGAAATAAAAATGAACAAAACTTTGACTTTTTATTATTATTAGATTATGTCTGAGGTCCTAGAAGACTTTGATGGTTCCCTCATATAGACACTCAGGATGGTGAATAGTAATATTGTGAAGGCTTAATCTGTGCTAAAGATATGAATGAGCTGAATAGTGAGGAATGTTTAGCCCACACATTAAAGCAAGATGGCAATTTGAGTAGTGTTTTGCTTCTTCCTGCAGAATAGTAATCAAAATATAATTTTATGCTGAGCTGTGCATGACCTCCCAAAAGGTGTGAGAGTGGTTTAATGTGTGAAATGCTACAGCTGCGTGACAGTATGTACATAACTCTCAGCAGCAGGTCAGAACTGTAACACTTCACAATAAATATTTTTTCTTTCACCTGCATAATTAAATTATATGATGTAAACAGGAGCAGCTGTTCGAACTAAATATACATGTTAGTCTTTCCTAGTGAAAACTGACGACAGTGAATTAGGAGGTAGAACCCAGGCAGGCTTGAAATGAAGCAGGAGCTATAGCAGTTTTAAATGGTTGAATTGAGCTTAAAAGCAACCTTGTTTCTTTCAGAGGAAATGGGACGATGAAAGCCCTCATCTTCCTAAACAAGGGTTCTTTGTGAAATGATTTCAATATACACATTTGTTACACAACAAGTTTGTGTATTTATTTTTAGCATTAGTTAGCTTAAAGCGAAAATAAGAAGCAGCATGTGGTCATATTTTCCAGCTTTTTTGTACCTCATTGCTGCTTTGTTTTGATAATGGTTAATCATGATGTGTTTCAGCTTTAAGGATATGTGGAGGTATGTCTAATGTGCGTAACTATTCAGTGAATCATCATCCCAAGTCATTTTTGAGAGGGGAAACGCGTTCGTTTTGCAAAGGCTGCCCACCTCTCTGAAACAACTGCAGTGAAAACACAATTCTTGTTGGTGTTTCATATTTCCACAGTGTTAGGGCCTGAAGGGGGGAATAAGCAAATACATGTGTGAAGCATGGTTTCAGTTTATAACTATGCTGAATTCATAGACAGGTTTAGATAAAATGTCATAGTTCCATGCACTGAAGCCTGAACAACATTTTACACGTTTTGATTTCTCATTGGTATTTCTGAGAGTTCCTGAGTACTTCTCCAAACCACCTCTTCGTACCATTCATAATCAGCCATAAATGTTCATTACTGCTGTTTACGTATGTCCGGTATGTGGCAACAATGTTATGACGGAACAGAGACGCTTCCGTTTTAATCAGTGTTTCAGTCCACGCTGGCTGTGGTAGGTGCTCGTCTTACATCTGTCAAAATGTGGACACTTGAGTCTTGCTGCTTTTTTAATGCGTGAAGTTTATTTTATTTTCACTTTTACTTTCATCAGTGAATTAAACTTCCAAAGAGATTCAGTCACACACACTAACTTTTTATGATGTTCTAAACTATATTTAAAATACTAATTTACTGAAGCATTTTATGCAACAATTTGGGCACCCATGTCAAATGTCTTGTATTGTAGATTTGCTCTGAAAATAAGTTACACATGATCTACAGAAAACACATTTCTGCCCATTCTAATGAACAACTACTGTTTATTTGCTGAATTAAACGCATGAGGAAAAAATATTAGAATGTGGCCTGTGCAAAAGCTTTTATTTTGTATTATTTTAACCATTATGGTAAATAGTGGTGAAACGGTGACTGGTTTCACAGTACAGTTCCAGATGGTTAGTATTACCATTTCAAATTTTAATCATCATTAAAACCATGGTTGATTACTGAACTTTGAAAAACTCACATTAAATACTGTCCAGCGTCAACCAGAGTTGGCAACAGTCTCGCAGGCGCAGTATGTAATGTGGGTTTGTTTTCTGTCAGTGTAAACATGATGGAAACTAGTGACGGTGCTCTGGAGATTTTTCAACCTCCTAAGAGGCCTGCCTCTGAAGTGTGGTGGTATTTTGGTTTTTATAAGAGTGCAGAGGGAAACCTGGAGATAGTCACCCTGTCTGCAGAACTAATATGTGACCGTAGTTCCCAGGTAGTAGCTGCAGTATTAGTGGTTTTTGAACATTTAACAAATTTCAACAATTCCGTGATAAAACTGATAACTATGATATTTTTGGTCACTATAATTGTGACATTAAATTTTCATACCGTTTTCAACTCAAACATAAATTGAAATAGAAAATACATAAAAATGCATATTTAAATGTGTTCCCAGTAGAGGATATGTTTACCTTTTTGCATAGAAAATTAAGAAAACGTAATTTGGTCATGACTACTCAAACTTTTGTATAAGAGTGCAGCTCTTGCGCTGTACTTTTACATTGATTGCTTGGATAGTGACTTAATTGACACAGGGCTTAATTGATATGACTGTTGCCAATTATTTCAGTCTGTGCAGCTTTTGTATCTGATGGTCCAAATGTAAACAAATGAAACGTTAAAGCAGAGCTTCTGTTACTTACAGACAATAGGCTTGGTCAGACTGTCGTATCAGTAGAGGGATAAAATGGGCAGCCATATATGGATTTCTTTAGCACATGTTTTTTCCTGTTTATTGAAGATTACATCCTGTCTTGTAACGTAGTACATGCCAGTACACCATCCCTGCTTCCTGTGACACATGGTCTGTATGTTTCTTTGCACATTATCTATTACAATAGAGGGCAGTGACAAATTCACTTAATTTTAAGAACATCATGATACCAGAATTGAGTTACTCAGTGCCAATAACAATAAGAGTAAGTAATTTTGGAGACCTGAGAACAAAATAGAAATTTCCACTACAGCCTGAATAGCATTTTCCAGACTTTAAATGCTCGTTGGTGTTTCCAGACAAGCACTCCAGTGCTCGTTCTCTCCGAGTGGACAACAAAGCACTTTTGTAAGTCGCTCTTAATAAGAGTGTTTGCTGAATGCTATAAATGTAAAATGTAAACCTAAATCTCTGTCAGTTTAATCTATTTCATACAGATTTACAGCTGTTTATATCTTAGGATTCTAAGTCTCTGTTGGATTCGGAACCCTCAAAGTAAAAGATACAGCCCGGCTGACAGTGATAGTTTAAAAAAAAAAAGAAAGAAACTTGAAATGTTGCCCAACATGACTGAACGATAAAGACACTACAATGATATAGTTGAACTAATAAGGTATTTTATAACCGAGCTAAATGTTGTATGCCAGTAATTTGAACAAGTTGCCTCCTTTACTTTCGGTTTAAAAAGTACCAGTGTCATTGTTTGATTTATGCGATTCTTTATGATTCCTGCAGTAGCACATTTAAATGCCACTGTCACATTGCTTTTTTCTCAAGTCACTGGATGTTCTAAAGATTTCTTCAGTGTACAGTTAAACAGGAATGTGGAACTTTGACTCAGTGTTTCGCATTTTACTTTTTCAATTTAAGCTTTGATTTGGCACAGAGGTGCTGGTTCTTGGGCATTGTTATTTCATTTTCACAGAAGAGTATGTGTAGTGCCTGTCGTGCTTTTGAGTCTTCAGATGTGGATTGCACAAACCAGTGAAATGACCATAAGCACAATTCTTCTGTTAGTGATGATCAGAATGGCCAGTCAAAGGTAATGATAATTGGAAGACCAAAGTAATTTCCATAATTGCTTTTCTTCATATAAATAAAGCCAGCTTAGAGCTCTTATGCTTAACCTTTTTTACATTTTGGATAGTTATTGAGGGCTGCTGTATCTGCTATAGACATTTGTTCTGATACCACATAGCTCACTACTAAGCTCTATTTTTAACAAAAAAAAGCCTTTATCATAATTTGCCTATTATAAATTCATGTAAATCGTTTCAGTTCACCTGCTGGCTTTTTCACTTCTACCTTCTCAAAACACAGTGAAGCTTTGTTGTGATGATTCACGCTGCGTAGTCCTTGATTTCTTGGAACAAGGAACAGTGCTGTTTTTGCTTTCAGCTTTACTTGACAGATGTCACAAGGCAGCAAGAGGAGAAACAGAAATCTGTAAAACCATGTGAGCTGTAGATACCAACCAAAAACGGCAGTAACATCTGAGCAAGCATCCCCTTTGCCTATATCAGTCAGTGCCATTGCTAATTACCTGAATACACAGCACCATGAGCTAAACTACCTCCTGTTCCAACCTGTCGTCTTACTGTTCCCTTTCTTGGGGTGTGTGTGTGTGTGTGTGTGTGTGTGTTTGTGTTTGTTTGTGTAGGAAACCCAACGTTTGTTGGCAGAGCCAGTGCCAGGCATAAAAGCAGAGCCGGATGAGGGGAATGCTCGCTACTTTCATGTGGTCATCGCTGGACCTCAGGACTCCCCCTTTGAGGGAGGGACTTTTAAACTTGAACTCTTTCTTCCTGAAGAATACCCCATGGCAGCTCCTAAAGTACGCTTCATGACCAAAATATATCACCCCAACGTAGACAAACTGGGAAGAATATGTCTAGACATTTTGAAAGGTAAGGGACTCAGATATGCAGTAAGTTATTAAAAACATACCTCACACCAGAGACCTTTTTTTTTGGGAACGCTTCAGACTGCTGTGACTGCCCTGATATGGCTGTGAAGCCACTGCAGTGTGGGCACATTTACACTGCAGCTGAACTGCTGTGACCCTTAGTACCTGGAGCAGCTCTGATGGATGCGCCTTAACCGCAGTCTAAACGAACTGCCAGGTCAAGACCGTATAAATCGCAGTGCTTGCATTCTATCTGCACTGAAATGCTAACAATCGTTATGTGCTTAGCAGCTAACTTTTGTACCTACTCCAAAATAGGGCTGAACATTTTGGGGAAAAATAACTAACTGCAATTTAAATGAAAGTAATTTTTATATAAATCAGGCTTCAGGCCTCTTGTTCACCAAGAAGACCAACATGTCCATTTTTACAGGCTTGGGTCTTGAATGCTGAACGCAGTCAAAAGGTTTGTGTTTTTGTAGTCTATTTCCTTAGAAATTGTGGTTAAATGGCCTAAATTTCAGCCTTTTTGTGTGAGGTTACTGTATATCAGGGCAAAAACTGTCAGTTTTTGCTGCCTGTTGGCCGACTGTTATTTGTTTTGGCTGTCATAAGCAATTCCTAGTGTGGTAGCTGTATCTCTCTTCCGTCACCATCAATCTGAGAGAGGTAGCACCAGCCCACTGCTCCTCAAACCTAAATCCCAGAGTGCCTCTCCCTCTCCACTCCTGAGGGAAAAAAACTTGACACAGATGAGTGATTTAGGATTTCCATTTCATGTGACTCATACAGTGCAGGATGACTGAGAGAGCCCGGGGTGGGAAAGTGAGTCAAAGGCTCACTGTGTTTGTATTTTGGGATGTTATTTTTCCCCCTTTCTGTCATGCGTGACCTAAGAACGCAGTGAGGGATTTGCCTTCATAATCTCTCTCAAAAGATGAAGAGCCTCTCAGATTACACTTTTGACCTCACAGTGTGATAGACCTCCACCACAGTGTACTTTATCTCTCCCATATATTTAATACATGTCTCCATGTACTATTCTGAAAAAAGACATCTGGCTGACACTTTCCCTCATCAACTCCCTCTCTCTTTCTCCCTGCCATAAAACATTTTACAGATAAGTGGTCCCCAGCCTTGCAGATCCGCACAGTCCTGCTATCAATCCAGGCATTACTAAGTGCTCCTAACCCTGATGATCCTCTAGCAAACGATGTTGCAGAGCAGTGGAAGACCAACGAAGCTCAAGCCATAGAAACAGGTGGGTGGAGGAAGGGAGGTTTTTTGTGAGATAATTAGTCAGCATTGCATGTTTCATTAGCTGTAGGAACATGGATCTAATAATATTCTGTGAACAATGATAGTATTGACATGTCGTCTTATTGACAAGAGAAAACTTTACTAACCCAGTGCTTGTGTATTGTTGATGTGTAGTAACGGCCTCATTTATGAGCAGAAAGCAGTATATGAACAGTTTTCAGCGTATTACAAAGTTACTGGAGCATGGTAAATGCAGTATGGCAAATGGTTCTTCAAATTAATGCAGAATGTGTTGTATATGGTTCTATATAGAACCTTTGTGAAACAGGTTCCATATATCACCAAGTAACAATAGCAGAACACTTTTTGGTGCTATATCGAACCATTTTCAAAAAAGTTCTATACAGTACCATGTGCAACACATTCTCCTTTAATCTGAAGAATAATTTCACCATGCAAAGAACCATTCAAGCATAAACGGTTCTATAGAACTCATGGCTCTAAATATAACCATCGCCTTTATTAACAAACTCTTGAATGACCATCTTTTTAAGTGTGTAGGGCTGCAACTGTTGAATGTACTCACTTTGCTGTGCTATTAAAAGGACACTTTGTTTGCAGTATTGAATAGATGTGCATTATTGAAGTTTTTTGGGGTGGTGATAAACAGCAGTGTTACTATTTTTTATTTTGTTTGGAACATTTTTAGTTTTAAAGGTCAAACTAAAAGCAACCCACAGTGTATACTGGGTTTTACAGTCAGTATTTAAACTTGAAGCTTATGCTCGACTTGTTTAGTATGTTTGTTTGGGCCATGCAGTTTGTGACGGCAGACCTGTAGATGGGTGACAAAAGAAAAAACAAGTGCAGATGCTTGCAGACAGGTGTACTACATAACACACCTAAGCAGTTAATATCCCACCATGCTTTATGTAAAAATGCTGAGCAGAACCATTTGAGCTGGATTTTGGATTAAGATGGCAAGAGGAAAATATTTAAGTGACTTTAAAAGAGTGTTCGTTATTAGTACAATGCAGGACCACTTCTGATTATATTTGATATATTTGATTGTCGGATGGGAGTCTTTGTGTATATGTAAATAATGTTACAACCGTTCAGACTGCATGGATAGCTAGCACAACAATCAGGAGAGACGATAAAGAAAAAGCTACACAGATGCTTTAATCTCCGCTCTGATGACACAATTGTGGGCGCTTAAACAATAACAGTACGAATTGTATGTGGTCATGTGTGTCCCAGACCCGTACGAATGAGGTTTAGTGCATCTCTGAGATGCATGGAACTTGTACTTGGCACTGTCCACTTACGATCGGATCAAATGTGTAACAGGAGCTTATAGTGTGGCTGCAGTGCTTTTATGCACATTTGTTTAGTGGTGCAAAGTGCATAGTCAGATGAATCGTCCTTTACTTTATTCTTTACAAGTCAGAGAGTGCATGTGTGGTGTACACCAAGAGAAAAGCACAGGTCTGAATTCATGACCCCTACAGTGAGAGGGGTTCAGTAGCTCTGTTGTGCTGTTGGGGGAATATTGCTATCATGGTTTAGGTCCACTTGTCCCCTTGTGATTGAACATTTCTGTCCTGATGGAAGTGGTCTTCCAGGATGACACTGCCCTCATCCACAGAGCACAAGGGGTCATAGTGTTTGACGAGTGTGAAAATTTAAATAAATCATATGCATATGATTTTTATAGTCACCAGATCTCAAATCCAGTTTAATAAGGGAATGTTTTGGAAGAAAGTTGTTCCATCCCACCAGTACAGTTCCATGTACTTTTTGAAATCTATGCCAAGGTGCATAGAGGCTGTTCTGGTTACTTGGGCCCACCACTTTGCTAAAACTTGCATTATGTTTTTTCCTTTCTTTTGGCACCTGTCTGTATGTGCATTCATGAAGTATTGCTGATGTGGGTTTACTTTCCTTTATTTATGCACACAAAATTACTAATTTCTAGTCTGCAACTTGAATGATAATAGACACCCTGATTATCATTGCCAATCATGATTATAAAGCATGAAAAAGTTTGTTTTTAAGTAAGATTGAGTGAGTAATGGTGCATTGAAATTGTCAGAATGACCTTGTGTATCATTTAAAGATTATAGAGTGCTTTTGTTTTTAAACAATGGATCAATTGTTTAGTGATGTAGACTAATTGTTGTAGCCTAAATAACCTGAAATATTACTGCTTCCTAATTTTCCTACAAAAATGTATATTGTGAAACTGAAGAAAGTGTGATGTAGACATGACCAAGCACAATTGTCCAAAATGGAAAGAAAAAGTCAAAACGCTTGTTGTTTAGATTGTGTGCTGTTACAGAACAGTGGGTCATGTGTTGGTATTATGGTACATTAATGAGCTCAGTACTGCTTGTAGGAGTTTCTTCTACTCCTTGTCTGGAGTAGAGATGCATTTTAGAAAGATATTTTAACACCTGGTCAGAGAGAGGAGTTCTGATACAACGATTCTTAGTTATTTCTGACAAAGAATAACTTGAGTTCTAGGCTTCAGGAATAAAGGCTTAATGCTTTTTGCAGTTCAATTCATAAAGGAATCACCCCACACTTCAATTATTCATTTTTCTGATTTATACTTATTCTTTCCAAGGCCTTAAATGACTTAGCTTTGCTCATGATTGAGGTTTTCAGTTAGAAGTTTGGGAAGTGATTTGAAGCACGAGTCCCTAATTAGAGTCATCTTTCTAACACCACATCCTGTTGCATAGAGAAGTGTCACGTTACATTCATGTTCTAAATCCAGTCAGTGTCTGAATGTGAGACGTGTTAACGCTTCTTTGTCTGTTTCAGCCCGGACATGGACCAGGCTTTACGCCGGGAACAATATTGAAGTCTAGAGAAAGAGGGGAGGAAGAGGAAAAAGAAAAAGTGGAAGTCATATGTGAACACAACTCCTCATGTTCTGCCAAGACCTGTTCATTTGCATTTAAAGGACACAGTCTTAGGGAAACAAATATTATAATAAACAACTGTCAAAGAATATATTAAAGAAAAGAGTAAAAAAAAGTGACAATTGCATACAATTTGTGATTTAAAGACACATTAGCAGAAAAAAAGAAAAAAATGTCTTTGTCCTGATTCACTACTGTTAAGATGCATGGGCAGAGGATTTAGATCTACTCACGTGGCTTTCTTTTTCCATTGATCTGGGAGGCTGTAGGAGACCTCTGCTGTAAAGAGCGTGTAGTTTAAAAGAAAAAGAAGAAAAAAAAACTGGCTGTCATTCGCTTGTCCCTTCATACGGAGGTGAGGGTGGGGGAGGGTGGTGGGTAACTTTTTACATTTTTCTTTTAACCTCAGTTTTGTTTTTGTTGTTCCTCTCATGATGCTGTTTGTCTAAGAGAAGCAGCTGATTAGCCCCCTAATTAGACAAACCCTTTCTGGCAAACTACAAACTCCTCCCCTTTTAGAAGGCCTAGAAGGAAAAAAGGTAAAAAAAAAAACAAAAAAAAACATCGCTTTGCTTTTTAAAAACGTAAAAACAGTTACTACACATGACGCAAAAATTGTTGACTTTGGCAATGGTTAGATTAAATTAACATGGAATAGCCTTCCACCATCACGTTAACTGTTGTGACCGCTGATCGTGTAGACTCTAACATAGGCTTTTACTCTCTCTCTCTTTTCTTTTTCTTTCTTTTTTGACCGCAGACGTAAAGGCGAGATTGTACCATGAGTTTTAGTTTAACAATTCTGTTATCGTATTCGGTGTTAGTATTTTATTTTTATCTTTCTTGCCATCGCTGTGCTAATTTCACTCTCTAAACTCCATCAATGGTGTGCGCTTTCTTCTGTGTCTGTCACAGTCCGGTGCATCGAGATTCATTTGCCTGTTTGTTCCCTCTAGCCTTTTTTTTGCAAAACATAGGTTGAGTTGGGACTGGTGGTGTGACGGTGAGGTCTTTTTTTTGGGGTGGGTGGGGTGTGTGCAGGAGCAGACTGTGATCAATGAATGCTTTATCTCCATTTCCATGATTGGTCTTTGGTTTGACATGTCTCAATTCACTGTATGTAAATTCCTTCTTTCTAAAGGGGAGAATGATTTCCTGCTTTCTGAATGACATGAAAACAGTCCACATACTTTTGTTCTTTCTGTAAATAAAATCTGTTGATTAATAAGACTTGTGGTGTTATTTGTCAGCCTATTTATATATAGTGGAGTTGACTTCAAGGTGTTGTTTAGTGTGTTGTCTGATTTCAAAAACACTAATGCATTTCTGTTACTGTAGTGTGAGACTGGATACCCACAACTTTACTGAAGGTGGGTAGAAAAGCCTAAACCCATACTCTCATAAAATGTTTGGTTAAAGTTTTGTGACTTCATGAGATGGTGACTTGAGTAGATGTGAAAGTGCTTTTCTAAAAAACAGCTTGGGCAGAAACAGGAAAATATCAGGTTAAAACATCTACCTGAGTACTGTGTAAAGTCTAAAACCACAGTGAAATAATTTAGTACATCCAGTATCTATGAGCATACACGTGGAAGGTTGTTAGAGTGCTGTTCTTTTTTCGATGTAATCAAACACAAAAAATGAATTGGTAAGAAAAAGTAGATGTCTAAAATGTACCTGAGTAAAAAGATTCTTTCCTCATAAATTTAGTGTGATCATTTCGAATGTAATCAGAGATACAATCATATATAAAATGGAGTAACTATTACCCATTTCTACTGCTATTTTATTTGTATAGCACCTTTTCAAAAGTGCTTCACAAAACTGCCAATGAAATGACAGAAGAATGACTTTTGAAGGAAAAAAAAAAGTAATGCAGATAAAAGGTTAGTTTAATCCCTGACATGAAGCATGCTCTTATGAAGCATCACAAACTATTGCAGAGAACCTTCAGACTAGTTTGAATCCCAAAATGGCTCTTTTATTACGCACTGCTTGGGTGCAGGAGTCATTTTGAGACCTGAGTAGTGCACTACATAGGGAGCCATTTGAGATTCAGCGCAGTCCTGAGTTAAAGGACTGATCTCAGGTAAGATTTCTCAGTATTTATGATTGTGGTGTTCACAAATGCTAATTTTGATCAGTCTCAATGTGGTTTGTGACTGCAGGCCCAAGACAGTGCTGGCTCTACCTAACCTAAGCAGCTGCTGAGAGCCCTGTGGTGACAGGGGCCCCCTAACAACTTCTGGATTACGACTGAACCGCTCTGTTGCCTAAAATGCTCGAGTGAGGGGAAAAAAAACTGCCGCTTAATCATGTCTCAAAAAAGAATGTATGCATCTGGACCTGAAAAACAAGAAAAAGAGATGAGGAGCCAAAGCTTAAAGATAAAGGTGTGTTCTTTTATTTTGTGGTGTTTGTTAAGCCATTTGTTTTGGCTTGTATTTAGAAAATAAGTAATTGTTAATCTGGGGTCTTGAAGTTAGACATGCTTTCTGACTGAGAAGCAGTTGCCAAAGAAGGAAAAAGAAAATATACTGACTAAATATATAGAAAATAAAGCATTTCTAGCAATAAAAAAGCAATGCTGTCGCCACTGCCACAAGGGTTAGATCCAAGTTTAAAGTTAACTGGATAAGCAAGAAATACTATATCGTGAGACAGACCCTGGATCAAGAACACACTGAGAAAGCTGATTTAATGTGTAACTTGTTGAAATGTAAAAATGTAACTTATTACCCTATAAAACCCACAGAAACCAGTAAGTGTTTCTGTTGGTCCCTGATTGTTTTGTGATGTGCTTTGGCTTTTTTAATGGGTTGATATCACAGTGTAAAGGATCCTAATGGATTAACAGGTGACTAATGGCTGATTCTAAATGCATCTGACGTTTTCCTAATGGGATCTAAAGGTAGTTCAGGAAACTAGTGGTCTCTATTGGAATAGTGTCTAATGGTCATTTTTCAGCAGAGTAGAATCCATAACAAGCGTCCACTCATCAGCAATACACAAATTAGCCATTTATAAATGTACACTTTCAAAAAAGGTGGTTTTTCAAGGGTACTTTAGTAAAGACAATGGTTCTAGATAGAACCATTAACACTCAAAGAACCATTTGCATGCTTTGCATGATGATGCAGAATGTGTTGTGTATGGTTCTATATAGAAGCATTTTGAAAAAGGGTTCTGCTGTTGTTACGATGTCAAGCTTGTAACAGTAGAAAAACCTTTTTTGATGCTTTATAGTACCATTTTCCAAAAGGTTCTGTTTAGAGCCATATAGAACGCATTCTCCATTAAAGAACCATTTCACCATTTAAAGAACCATTTAAGCATGCAAATGGTTCTTTGGTTCTATGGTCTATAGTTCTATCTAGAACCGTTGTCTTTACTAAAGAGCCATTGAAGAACCTTGTTAAGAGTGTGTATCATTTAGACAGCTTGTCTTAGTCACTGTTATTAGTTAGCCTCCAGTTTTGCAGCACATCAGCTGGAAAGATTGGGGCCCCAAAAACTCTCAGTATCTGAAATACGGCTGTGGTATGCTGTGTCCTGTTCGGCCGCTAGATGGCGCCACAGCAGCGCCGCGCTGTTAAACAATGCCGCGTGTCCGCGCGGTCTCCCCACACTGCAGGCTGATCATGAGGCCCTGTGTGCAGAGGAAGAGGAGAAGGAGGAGGCGTGCTCCGCTTTACAGCGTTTTCTCCTCCCTCACAGCGCTGCTCGCGCATCCCGGTGGAGATCTGTCTCATTTTCTCCTGTTGAGGCTCGAGCGGCGGCTGCGCACTGTTGAAGCTCGCGGAGAGAGAGAAGAGAGAGAGAGAGAGAGAGTAAAGAGGAGATAGAAGAGAGGAGAGAGAGCGGAGAGAGGAGCCATGGGGGGGAAGAGAGAGCCGGCACAGCAGCACCACACTCCAGCTTCAAAATAAAGCAGCAGTGAGAGAAACAGCGCGGAGAGCTGGGGGCGAGTTTCTTCCGTCGGCCTGAGGGGCAGCGAGAGTGGAAACCCGCACCGTCCGCCTGTGTGAAACACTTCATTCCTCACCTGCATCTGTATCTGCGGAGAAGCTCAAAAATCTGGAATACATGATGAAATTTAAGCCAAACCAGACAAGGACGTACGACGGCGAAGGCTTCAAAAAGCGGGCCGCATGTCTGTGCTTCAAGAACGACCGCGAGGACGAGGTGGGTCGTGTTCAGCACTTTCTCTCTGTATTCCTCGCTTCACACTTCACGACGTTCAGACTCGGCGAACGGTTCACTGCTTGTCTCATGGCTCCTAATCTCACCGACTCCCAGAACTCAGCCCTCGTGCCAAACTTTTGGCTGGTCTAAGAGAACTAACAAATGCGTATCATGTTCCCTTAGCATCTGCTTGAGTGGCCTAATCAGGGTTTTAACAGCAGTCTGTCACTTTTATAGACGCGTGTCCGGCATTGGCCGAGCTGATTTGGCACGGCAGTCCTACCAGTGGAATCCCATTCACACCTATGGCAGCAGCACTTCACCACTCAGCCTTCAGCCAACATGTGCAGGAGTGAAAAGAGCCTGGCTGAGCTCTTCTTGCTCTGTTGCGATACAGGTCATCTGCCTAACTTCCTGAAGCACTGAAATGACCTTAACTTCACTACAAAACAAGCCTGTCAGTCACAGGTTCAGACAGTAGGGCTGTTGTAGGTGAACAGAAGGTGCAGAACGGTTCCATGTTACCCAACTTTCATTTCACTTATCAGACTGTATTCACTGTGTTCACTGTGCTCGGCTGCTCTTCGTTTTTCAGTTCTGACTCTGACTTCCAGTGCAGAGCGTTAGTATCACATTCTTAAGCTTTGAATAGTACCCTTGAACAGGCTGTCATTTACTTAAAGGAATGGATGTTTATGAGGAAAGGAATCTGCTTCAACTCAGTTCCATTTTAATCCAGTGCATTTGGCTCATGTTTTCTTTTTGTGTGTAACTTAACTCTTTTGAGTTGGTGACAGTACTTGCATTGCACTGTTGTTGCCCTGTTTTGAGGCCTGTTATTTTGTTTTAGACCAAAAGGACCCCAAGAAGAGAGGAATAGTGCCTAACAAGCTTCATTGTCCATCTTAAAAGTCTAGATGCTGAAAGTTCCACTGCAGTTTTGTAGGGAATTCAGAACTTGACCTAACTACTTGTGTTGGTTTTGTTAGCTGCTTTTTCTTCTCCTCAAGTCATAATTTCATTGAATTAACAGCTCTTTGACTTGAGAATAGTTCAATGCTACTACCCACCTCTGGACTTTATTGGCCTAACACCTGCAGATTTGTTGTATAGCAGTGAAGAACTGCAAACCGTCTGAATCAGTGACTAAAGTGACTCTGTTTTAGGTCAATGGCATCAGTGAAACTAACGGCTTCACCTTCACAGCTTCCCTGCTTTAGTCAAACTAGGGGGGCATTGGGTCAGAGTTTAAGGCCTTAAGGGAGGTCTTGTTGGTTCAAGTTCTAGGAGGGGATCACAGTGCGCTGTGGACTTTAACGTCTCCAGTCTCCCTCTGAGCTCTGTGCCTCTGAACAGGGCACTTGTCCCAGTATGCACCATTGTGCCACAGAATGGGGCCCAGCACCAAATCTTAGTGCTTTTTTGTTTTTTTTGCTCACTTATTGCTTCATTTGCTTCCAGGGGTGGGGAAAAAAGTACAGAGAAACAGTTTTTAAGTGAAAGTGTGGGAACTGTGTCAGAGTCTTTAGTTAGAAGTGGAAGTATGGAGCCACAAAATATATAAAAGTATATAGTGAAGGTCAAAAAGTTTCCATGTTTGAAGGGGAATTCCACTAATTTTTAAAAATTTCTGCATATTGCAGTGGTTGAGATATAAACAAAGTCACTCAGAGTGGTTTGATGTGAAATAATTAATTTGTAAAGAAACTTACCAACGTCCTTACCGATTTCCTTGCAGTGGTGATGATAGGAATGTCTACAACACAAATAGTTGTTTTATTTACTATCCAAAACCACCAGTGAACCTACACATATCTTCTAAGTTTATGAATGTAATGTTGATGATGGTAAAATAGTGGGAAATATTTTAATAAAAAAGTTTTCTTTGGGAACTATTTTGCCTTAGAACAACCTTCTTGTATCCTTCTACCATGAATGCATTAATAAATAAACTAATTAAAATACACTTTACCACAATACTACTGCAAAACAATGTCTCAGACATCAGGCAATGTGTTCATGACCATTTCATGTAATAACTTTCTGTGAGGGAGCTTATAGAGGTGGACGGCTGGTTCTTGTCACCACAAACTGTGAACAGTTTTGACTCGGCAAGTTTCTTTAGAATGGAGCATTTCAAACCAAACCACTCTTATTTAAATCCTTAGCATTTAGTTATGCAGAAATTGTGAAAATGGGTGGAGTTGCCCTTTACATATATGTAAAACATGTTGTGTGGCGGCTAATGGGCAGTACTGGTTCTTGCACAAAGATGAATTTGCATAGTTGTGGGCAGTTTTATTTTACGTACATGTGAATATTGATTGGATGTTTTAATAAAAAGGTATTCAAAGAGAACTCGACTAATTGGCAGGAGAAAAAAAATAGACAAATCTGCTGACTTTTTGAGATTTGTAACAAGTACTTTGAAGGACTAGATGTTAATGTGAGAATTAAAAAAGTATGTTTTCTCTTGAAAATGTAACTGTTTAAGAGTGCAAGTAGTCAGTCTCAGCACTACTTGATCAAAGTGTAAATCTTCCAAAACAATATTTAAATATAGTAACATAGTACAACTCAGTGGTGTCTATGAAAGTGCTGCCTCCTTACATCTCTGTCCCGTAATTTTCTCGAAGTGTGGTAACTTTGTGACCTTACTGACGCAGCATTAGCAGGGCAAACGGGCAAAGGGACAGTGGAGCACCTCTACTCATTTGCTTTACAACAAGTAATATATGAGATGAGTAAATGAATGTTTGCGTATTGCTCCGCAAAGTAGAACTGCGGTTGTTTTTGAATAATACAGATACTATGACCATAAACAGCGAGCAATAAACAATATAATAATATAATAATAAACAAGCAGCATGTCTGAAGTATTTGGAGGTCATTGGCCATTATGTCGACAGGCAAACTATTACTAAAAAGATTTATTGTAGCCCTTCCCATAGAAAAGACAAATTCAAAAAAAGAGATCTCTGCAGTTTCTCCTAGATAACAATGAAATCAGATGGAAAGACAAGGGGGTCTTTTGCTTGCTCAGATGTTTCTCCTGGGAAAAAGACCCCAGTAATCTTGAGCATGAGTCTTAATAAAGGCACACATTGTGCTCATATTTGCCAAGACAGTAACACTTATCTCTCCTTTATCTCTCTGCATCACAGATCTCCTTTTTGTCTAATGCAGTTTATCCAGGAATTTTAGGAAAATCATTATTGAGTCCCTTGAGCCATGAAAGGGCAACATTTGAGCAATAAAATTGTCCACAGGGCAGAAGCTGTGGGTTGAGGCTCCATTTACTGAAAGGCGTTTTAGAAGTTAGCAAGTTAATTGTGTAAAAAAAAGAACAATATTGATTTAGTAATACAGTGAGTCGGAACAACATGAAATATTTACATAATTTATCCAGTTTGTTCTGGGAAATGTGAAATGTGTTGTTTCTGTGGCAACATTTTTTTTTCAGTAGATTCAAATCTGATTTTATTATCTTCTATGTAAAGGAGTTTAGCCTACATTGGAGATCAGATGGTTGTACTAGATTTAACGCAGTATTTGATTACCTTCTGTATACTTGGTATTCCAGTTACATTTGTCCTAATTTAGTATTTGCTCCATTTGTGACCTCACTGGAAAGTAATGATTGGATTCAGTGAATGTTCAGTGCCTATAAATGTCTAGACTACAATTATCCTCACAAATGCTTCCATCACTGAGCTCCATCAAGCTATGTGTTAGAGAATAAAGCTTAATTAAACCACAGGAGTGTTTTCACTTATGTTTAGAAACATGATAACATGGACGAAGAAAGCTATGAGTAATCATCCCACAGAGGGAGTTGCTGAAAAAAGCATTCACACTTTTGGCTGTGTGAAGTACATTGCAGCTGTGTGATCTGTTCTGTTGCCCGACTCACACAAGCTCAGTTCAGATTTTACACTGTGGAAGTTTAAAGTTGGGATGTACTGTAGAAAAGATCAAATTAGCTGAAGTTATGAAAGCAGTTGTTCAGTTTTAAAGGTAAACATTCTGAAGTGTCCCATTACTGAAATGAACCTCAATGGTGGACGACTCAAGGGGGCTTCTGGTGGCATGGGAGCCTTGGGGCCTGAATATTTGGCATAGCAAAAGGGCACAATCCTTCAGGTCTCCTCCATGTGATTGGGACAGTGAGGGGGAGCAGTGGGGGAAGCAAGTTACACTATGTGCTGAAGCACCAAGTGACCTATCAGCAGCAATTTATAGAAGTGGAATGAAGCCATGGCTGTCCCCTGACAGATTCCTATTTCCACCTTGTCAATCTTCTCTTCTCATCATCTGGTGTCTTCTCGGTATTTCTCCTCTCAGCTCTTCTCTTTCGGTCTGGTTATCTTCTTGCTTCTTGTCTGATTGTGTGTTTATTTCTTTTCTCCTTTCTTCTCTTTTTGTCTGGCATCTTCTCATCATTTCTCCTAATCTTTTCTACTTCAATTCTTGGCCTTTTTTTGCTCTTCTTTACCTTCTCTTTTTGTCTAGTGTCTTCTCAGGATTTCTCTTCTCATCACTTCTGTTTTTGTCTGTTGTCTTGTAATTTCTCTTCTTCTCTCTTTTTTTCATCTGGTGCCTTCACGTTATTTCTCTTCTCATCTCTTTACTTCTTGTCTGATGTCTTCTTTTTATTTTTCTTCTGGTCCCTTCTCCTTTCATCTGGTGTCAACTCGATGCGTCCAGTCCCACTCCTTTTTGTCTAGTGTCTTCTTATTTCTCTTCTTTTCTCATTCTTTCCTTTCTCGTCTCTTCAGTTCTTGTCTCTTCTCTTGTTGTTTACTCTTGCTTCTCTTTTTGTATTTTTTTCCCTTCTTTCCTCGTCTTTCCTTTTTCTTCTTATCTCTTTTCGTCCCTTCTCATGTTTTTTCTTCTCATCCGTTCGCTTCTTGTCTCTTCTTGTCTCATTTCATCCCTTCTCATTTCGTCTCTTCTCGTCTCTTTTCGTCTTCTCCTGTTTTGTCCTTCTTTTCTCTTCT